TAGCAAAGCGCGATGATACAGAGATGCCTTGCCGACCGTCGACGCTTTGGTACTGATGCCGAGAAGACATTGCAAGACAAGGCAAGGCAAGCAAGTACATTGGACCGCAGGCGCATACTGCTCAGGCCTCTCCTAGCACCCTCGGGAGCTGGGGCGCGCGCGGAGCTCACTGTCAGTCCTCCCCGCCCTCCACGTTGCACGCCTCCATCCACTCGTCCGCAGGTGTGTCTACCAACCTGTTACACGAGTGAAGCGATTGTTTCTCGACGTTCCGAGTGCTATGATGAAGATCTAGAAACATCCTCTTTGTAGCGATACCTTGGGCTCACGCTGAACTAACTGTACGAGTCTTCGTGTTCCTTACGTGTTGAGTGCAACGGGCCGGAGGTGTTTGATGTGCTTCCGTGATTGGCTTCCTCATACCTGAAACACGGGCCGAACTCCGAGCGTCAAAAGGTGCCGCCTGGTGGAGCCACGGCTTCCCGGTGCCCGCCGCCGCCACTCCTACAAGATCATCTTCAAAGGCACCTCGAGCCCCACTCCACGCATCTTCTTGTGCTCTGCCAAGCTCGGTGCACCCTTAGAGCATACATCAAATTGCCCGTGTTGGTGGAAGGGCCGATGCAACGATGTTCTCAGCACCGTTGCTGAAAGTGCGGCGGGGGACTCCCAAGGTGAGACCGAGCGGCTTGTCCCCTCCCTTCCCCACCTCCATCAGATTCGCCTCCTCATCCACCCTTCTTTCCTCGCTGAGGGTCTTAGGGGTCAAACACTCGAGATGTTGCTCGCAGGCGTACTGGTGGGGGAATACGGGCGGCAAAATGAAGCTATTGCCGGAAAGACCTACATGGAAGAGTAGAGGCAGAGACAGAGACAAGGGCTTGGAGGAGAACGGAATAACTGCACGATCCAAGATGATTATAGATGTGCAAGCGCCTTGCTGCTGATAAGTCTGTCTGTCTGCTACGCGCGGGCAGCGCGACTTGCAGCGAGCAGTTGACCGATGCCTCCTCCTCCTCCTCCTCCCTCCCCCTCCTCCACTTCCACCTCCTCCTCCTCCTCCTGGTCCTCCTCCTCCTCCTCTTCTCATTTTCACCACCACCGCCAATTCCCAGCCAAGTGCCGTCACCGAGGTTAATTCTGAGCACGAGCCAATAGAACATTGTGCCTCGCGAGCCTCATTTGGATGATGGTAATGCTGATGATGAGCAACATGAAGCTGAATGACATTAAATAATGCCGATCGGTCAGAGAATAACGGGGCTGTGACAATGAGTCAACTAACCGCCCCGTATCTTCGGCCTGCCTCTTCGCAATAGCAAGGCAATAGTAGCATTGATTTTCTGCGTGTTCACCTGCGCTTAACAGTAGGTTCAGAACAAGTTATGCAAGTGCATTTCTTTCTTGCTGGATCATGCCGATAGCTTGGTGGTACCAGACATGCAAATAGTGATGGGTACCATCTGCTTCATCATACATATTGCCTCATGCGTCGAGCAAATCGTGGTAAGTCAGCTGTGCGAACGATCGTACTTGCGTAACAGTTCGAATACCTCTAGGTATGTGTGGAGGTCGACGTCATCCCCTGGTTCTTGTGCATCGGGACCTCGGGCGTCAGCCTGGTTGTGGGTTTTCGAGGATGTGGACAGTGCCTTGGGGCATCCCTTCCCTTGCAGTTGCTGCAACATACCATCAAGCTTCAGAAGCTTAACACATGCTGGCACCAAACGCATTTGATGCAATTCGAGTACACATGCTTAACACATTCTGAATTCACATCGGTTGGCATCAGGATCATGGTAATAATTTCGACTCGAATTGCACGCCGCCATGCAGCTGTGGCGGTCCTCCCATGCCTGAATGTCCGATCATGGTCTCCAAAGTCCGTTTGGCGCGGTGCGCCCGCAACGCGTATTGGATTGGTTCATCCGGATCTTTGTCTATCAGCGCTTGCCGTCGCAAGGCGCCACAGAAAGTCATGCGTGTGACCATGGCGGCTCATGGTCAGCATGCACGGTCATCGGGACTAGCGCGGGCGGCCCTGCTCGTGGGGCGGCCGCGCGTGGCCCCGGGCACGAGTCGTTCGGGCCTGAGATTCCTCCTCCCCTTCCTCCTTGACGTCGTGGTCGTCGTCATCATCATCATCATCATCATCAGCATCATCAGCATCATCAGCATCATCATCAGCATCATCATCACCATCATCATTATCAGCATCATCATCATCATCAGCATCAGCATCATCATCATCATCAGCAGCAGCATCAGCATCAGCATCAGCATCAGCATCAGCATCATCATCCGTAGCCATCGTGGCTAAGCTGTTTCTCCATATCTCCCGCAGGTGCCCACGCGCAGCGGTCAATGGCGCGCGATTGGGAGATGAGCAATTGCGACGGGGGGCTGCCCGTTGGCGCGAGGGCGGGGCGGCCCATCAGGCGTGGCAGTGCGCTGCGCAGGCAGGAGGAGGACGAGGTTGGCGCTTTGGTGGTCCGCCTGACGGGCGCGGGCACGGCGCCTCCTTTCTGCCGTGGCGGCGGCTGACAAGGCGGCCAGCGGCGGTCCAGGTTCTTGGCAGGACCGCGAGGCGGCTGCGCGCCCTGCCTTGCGCCTGGCCGCCTCGGGATACCGCGTGCGAGGCGCCACGTGGCGGCGGCGGAACGCCGCGTGGCACGCGCTGCTGCCCCCTTGCGGGCGGATGCGCGCGCGCGTCCGCAGAGGGCATCTCGCGGGCCGCGGCAGGCCCCCGCTTGGGACGGCAGCCCGCGCCCCCCGCGGTGCTCGACGAGGCGCCTGGCCACGCACGGGACGGGATTGTTGAGGAGCGCGTCGACGATGAGGACCCAGCCGACCACTTCCAGGCAAGGACTGCCGCTGCGCGCACGGTTCGCGCGGCGGCGGGGCTCGTCGCGCAGTGGCAGGCCCTGCGCGAGTGGTCGCGCCCACGGCGGCGCGCCGCCAGTCCACCGCCCTTCACCGCCACGCTGGGGGTCATCAGCGAGGATGTCGGTGAGACCTTGGACGAGGAGTTCGGGCCCGAGGAGGAACGGGGCGCGGTGCACGTCGGGCTCCCTGGCGGCGACGCGCGCGCCGACGCGGGCCCAGAGCGGGCAGGTGGGCCCCTGCCAGTAGCCGCCAGCCCCGACGACGCCCCCCCGCTTGCCGAGGCCGCGACGGAGCCCGTGACGCACCAAGCCGTGTGCACGTGGGTAGAGGATCTCGAGGATTCGGGTGCGTACAGGGCGTGGATCAGACTCCCCAGCCTGTGCAAGACGCGGGCGGCCTTTGGAGGGTCGCCGGCGCCGTTTGCGCGGCGGCGAGCTCAGATCGCGGCCGTCGGCCACCACGACTAGTTTGACGACGAGGTGCTGCTGGCGGGGCTTGGCTTCGTCGTGGAAGGGCGCGTGGAGATTGGTCCTTGCTTGGTGCCGAGTGCGGCCAGCCCAGCGGCGCCGCGCGGCCCAGCGGAGCTGGCGATGGAGCAGCATACGAGTGCGGCGAGAGCAGCGGTCGAGGCTTCTTGGCTGCCGGCGAGCTCTTGGTTGCGGCGGCCGCCTCGCAGATGGCCGTCGTAGCGTCCAGCTGCCCTTCGACGTCCAGGATGCCGATGAGGCTCTGTGCTCTACAGGTGCTCGCAGCGTCATTCCATGATTTGGCGCTGGGCACGTCTGGGCGGTGTCGTTCTGTTCGCCAGGCGGGTTCGAGGATCAAGACCGCTTGCGGCGAGCGTGTTGGCCTTCTCTTGGGCTCGGCGCGGCACTCTGTCTTAACGAAACTGTGGCACCTTGCGGCTCGGGACCCTGCGCCGTGCGCTCGTGGCGCCAGGCGGGTCCGAGGATCGAGAATGCTTGCGACGAGCGCGCGAGCCCCGTTGGGCTCGCTGTGTAGCATCGCCCGCCTTTGGCGGGCCCGAGGTTCACGAATGCCTGCGACGAGCGTCTGGCCCTCGCGGGGGAGGGACCCCGTGGCGTAGGCTGTACCCCGCGGGGCTCGGTTCATTCCCTCCCGCCCCTCTCGGGTTTGTTGTGCATCATTGCTCTGCAGCTTGCTGCGTACCTGTCCGCCTTTCGCGCGCTGCTCTTTGTGCTCTCGTGGCAGACTGAGTTTTGAGTCTTTGACGGCCTGGATCTGTCGATCGTCTGCTTCGGCCAAGGCGGTTGCCAGCGTTGGGCGCTCGAGAGAATTTGCGTTTATGCGCCGGGGCGCACGTGCCCGAGCGTTGCCGCCGCAGGGCCACATGGAAACGCCTCGGGCCCAGGGGCAGTGCGACCAGGGAGCTCCTGTCCCCTTCAGCCGCGTGGATCATCACCATCGTCATTGTCATCATCATCATCATCACCACCACCACCATCACCATCATCCTCATCATCATCATCATCATCGTCCTGGGCGTTTCCTGAGCAATCCTTGGCGTTTCTCCGAGCCGCCGCCGCGCCCCCTCCGGCCGCGTCGAGCTGGGGGCGAGTTGGGGCCCGCCGGGTTGAGGGCCCGCCTTCGAGGGCCCACGGAGCTGGGGGCGAGCTTGGGACCCGCAGAGTTCTCCGAGCTGAGGGGAGGACGAGGAGGTGGAGGAGGAGGACGAGGAAGAGGGGGAGGGGAGAGGGATAGAGGAGGATACATAGGAGGAGGAGGAGGAGGAGAGGAGGAGGAGGAGGAGGAGGAGGAGGAGGAGGAGGAGGAGGAGAGGAGGAAGGAGGAGGACGAGGACGAGGACGAGGAGGAGGGGGGGGAGGAGGTGGGGGGAGGAGGAGGAGGAAAACGAGGAGGAGAGAGGACGAGGAGGAGGGGGTGAGGACGTGGGGGGGGAGGAGGAGTGGGAGGAGGAACGCGAGGAGGAGGAGGAGGAGGAGGAGGAGGAGGAGGAGGAGGAGGAGGAGGAGGAGGAGGAGGAGGAGGAGGGGGGGGAGGGGGAGGAGGAGGACCGGGGAGGCTCTTGGCGTTCGCAGGGGGGATCGAGCAGGATCGGGGGCCCACCCGCCTGCCGCCCCGCGTGAAGCCAGGCCCGGACGGGACGCGCCCCGCACGGCAGGCAGCGCGGCGCTGGCAGGCGCTGCGCCCGCCGCCCGCGCCGCGCCGCCCCCCCCTCAGGAGAGGCAAAGTCCACGCGGAGTGAGTCCATGCGGAGTGTCGTCATCGTCGTCGTGGTCCCTTTTTGTCAACGCGGAAAGAGTCCATACGGAGTGTTTCGTCCCCGTCGAGGTTTCTACCCCGTCTGGACTTCGCCTCTCCTTGGCAGGGACGCGGCGCTGCTCGGCCTCCGCCTGGGCGGATTCTTGTCTGAACGTCGCCTCTCCTCAACCCGGCGCTCGGAGAGCAGTATTCCTCTACCTCCGCCCTCCTCTTTCTTCCTCCTCTTTCTCTTTCTTCCTCCTCTGTCTTCCTCCTCTGTTTTCCTCCTCCTATATTCTATATGTCCTCCCCTATTTCCTCCCTCCTCTCTCCTCCTCCTCTGTCCTCCTCCTCCGGGCTCTGGACGTCGGGCCCTCCTGTTTGACAGGATCGGGTCGGGCGTGTCCCTCTGCAGGAGGCGGGGTACTCGAGAATAGGTACACATAGTATGGGGACGATGTTTTGGAATGTTTTGGCATCTTTGGACCAAAATGTTTTGAATGTTTTCGGATGTTGTGGGATGCTTGGGACTGTTTGGGAATGTTCTGGAATGTTTTGGCCCCCGTGTGAGGTACACATAGTATGGGGACGATGTTTTGGGATGTTTGGGAATGTTTTGGAATGTGTTTGAGTTTTTTGTTTTTAGGCCAAAATTCCAGGCCTCCTAGATGGGGTCGGGGTAGATGGGGTCGGAGGATCGCGCCGCATCGCCAATGCGTCGCCAATACATCGCCGATGCGGCTCGATGTAGGGCCTGATTTACTTCACGTCGACGTCGCCGATTCATCGCCCACGTCGACGATGCATCGCCAGTGCATCGCCGACGCATCGCCGATGCATTGCCGACGCATCGGCGATGTATCGGCGATGCGGCGCGAATCTCCGACCGCATCTACTCCGACCCCATCTAGGAAGCCTCTAAAAATTCGCCTGCAGGGGGACATGCCCGACCTGAAGCTGGGACATGCCCGACCTGAAGCTTGGCCCCACCGCCCGGGGGGGGGGGCACAAGCAAAAAACCAGAGGCAAGGGAGGGAGAAGGGGACGGGCACGAGATGAAGAAGGTTCCTCCTCCTTCTCCTCCTCCTCCTCCTCCTCCTCCATCCTCCTCCTCCTCCTCCTCCTCCTCCTCCTCCTCCTCCTCCTCCTCCATCCTCCTCCATCCTCCTCCCCCCTCCTCCTCCTCCTCCTCCTCCACTTCCTCCACTTCCTCCCCTCCCTCCTCCACCTCCTCTCCTCCTCCTCCTCCTCCTCCTCCACTTCCCCCCCTCCTCCTTCTGCTGCTCCTCCTCCTCCTCCTCGTCCTCCTCCTCCTCCTCCGCCTCCTCCTCCTCCCCCTGCTCATTCCTCCTCCTCCTCCTCCTGCTCCTCCTCCTCCTCCTGCTCCTCCTTCCCCTCCTGTCCGGTAGCTCGGCGAGGAGGCCCGTGTCGCTCCAGCCTGATGCGGCCAGGCGCCGTCTCAGAAGGCCGCCGTTGAGGCACTCTCGCTCCCATCGTGCTCGTGCCTCCGCCGCCTGTGCCTGGGCCTGTCGTCTCGCCGTCGTCGGTCGTTCTTGGGTCCGCCGCCTGAGAGATCCTCCTCCTCCTGTTCCTTCTCCCCCTCCTCCTCCTCCTCCTCCTCCTCCTCCTCCTCCTCCTCCTCCTCCTCCTCCTCCTCCTCCTCCCAGTTCTTGGGTGGGGCAGGCATCAGTGACGGAACTGCTGCACCGCCGCCCCGCCCCGCTCCCTCGAATAGCGACAGTCCAGGCCTCCCACATGGAGAACGGTCCCGGCTCCCATGGCCCCTGGCCCGTGAGTCGGAGGAATCGCGCCGACGGATCTTCGGCCATTCCATTCCCTTCTCTTAAGTCGGGCACTTCCCTCTACAGGGGGAATGTTCAAAAATAGTCACAAATAGTCAGGGGACTGCTTTTAGTATGTTTGGACCATTTGGGGGCATTTTTTTTTGTATTACCCTACCTAGGCTCTGCCTAGAAGGGTTCTTACTCTGTTAGCTAAAGGGGCCGGGCAATGCTAATAGCCCCGGGCGGTTCCCCCAGTCCCCGCCCCGCGGTTCCCCCAGTCCCCTGGGAGCTTTAGCCTTAGTGTTAGCTTTAGCTTAGCTTTAGCTTTAGCTTTAGCTTAGCTTTAGCTTAGAGTTAACTTAGCTTTAGCTTAGCTTTAGCTTAGCTTTAGCTTAGCTTTAGCTTAGCTTTAGCTTAGCTTTAGTTTAGCTTTAGCTTAGTGATAGCTTAACTTTAGCTTAGCTTTAGCTTAGATTTAGCTTAGCTTCAGCTTAGTGTTAGCTTAGCTTTAGCTTAGTTTTACCTTAACTTTAGCTTAGCTTTAGCTTTAGCTTTAGCTTAGCTTTAGCTTAGTGTTAGCTTCACTTTAGCTTAGCTTTAGCTTAGCTTTAGCTTAGCTTTAGCTTAGCTTTAGCTTAGCTTTAGCTTAGTGTTAGCTTAACTTTAGCTTAGCTTTAGCTTAGATTTAGCTTAACTTCAGCTTAGTGTTAGCTTAGCTTTAGCTTAGTGTTAGCTTAGCTTTAGCTGTAGCTCAGCTTTAGCTTAGCGTTAGCTTAGCTTCAGCTTAGATTTAGCTTAGATTTAGAGTAGCGTTAGCTTAGCTTTGGCTTAGCTTTAGCTTAGCTTTAGCTTAGCTTCAGTTTAGCTTTAGCTTGAACTGTAGCTTTAGCTTTAGCTTGGCTTCAGCTTTAGTTTAGCTTCAGCTTAGCTTTAGCATAGATTTAGCTTAGTCTTAGCTTAGCTTTAGCTTAGCTTCAGCTTAGCTTTAGCTGTAGTTTCAGCTTCGTGTTAGCTTAGCTTTAGCTTAGCTTTAGCTTAGCTTTAGCTTAGCTTTAGCTTATAGTTAGCTTAACTGTAGCTTAGCTTTAGCTTAGCTCCAGCTTATATCTAGCTGTAGCCTTAGCTTATCTTTAGCTTAGCTTTAGCTTAGCTTCAGCTTAGCCTTAGCTTAACTTTAGCTTAGTGTTAGCTTAGCTTTAGCTTAGCTGTAGCCCAGCTTTAGCTTAGCATTAGCTTAGCTTTAGCTTTATATTTAGCTTTGAGTTAGATCAGCTTTAGCTTAGCTTTAGCTTAGAGTTAGCTTTATCTTAGCTTCAGCTTAGCTTTATCTTAGCGTTAGCTTAGCTTTAGCTTAGATTTAGCTTAGCTTCAGCTTAGCTTCAGTTTAGCTTTATCTTAGTTTTAGCTTATTGTTAGCTTAGGTTTAGCTTAGTTTCAGCTTAGCTTTAGCTGTATCGTTAGCTTTAGCTTTAGCTTAGTGTTATCTTAGCTTTGGCTTAACTTTAGCTTAGTTTCAGCTTAGCTTCATCTTAGCTTTAACTTAGTGTTAGTTTAGCCTTAGCTTAGCCTTAGCTTAGCTTTAGTTTAGCTGTAGCTTAGCGTTAGCTTAGCTTTAGCTTAGCTTTAGCTTAGCTGTAGCTTAGCTTCAGCTTAGTTTCAGCTTAGCTTTAGTGTTACTACTAATGCTGCTTTCCTAGGGGCTCCAACTCCTAGGTAGGGTCGCACTGGGAGATGTTGTTTATTCCCAACCATCCTGTGGTGTTGGGTCCTCGTTTTGAAGAGACAGCGCCCCGCGTCCCACCTCCTCTCCTCCTCCTCCCCCTCTTCGCCCTCCTCCCTCCTCCCCCTCCTTGCCTCTGCTCTCGGCACACCCCTCACACGTTTGGTAGCCCCATAGGGAGCTCCACCGAAGGTCCCAGTGGCACAGCCCGCATGGGGTTCCCCCACCCAGGGCAGCGTTTCGTAGCCCCATAGGGAGCTCCACCGAAGGTCCCAGTGGCACAGCCCGCATGCGGTTCCCCCACCCAGGGCAGCGTTTCGTAGCCCCATAGGGAGCTCCACCGCCCAGCATGCGGTTCCCCCACCCAGGGCAGCGTTTCGTAGCCCCATAGGGAGCTCCACCGAAGGTGGCACAGCCCCATAGGGCAGCGTTTCGTAGCCCCACCCACCGAAGGTCCCAGTGGCACAGCCCGCATGCGGTTCCCCCACCCAGGGCAGCGTTTCGTAGCCCCATAGGGAGCTCCACCGAAGGTCCCAGTGGCACAGCCCGCATGCGGTTCCCCCACCCAGGGCAGCGTTTCGTGGCCCCATAGGGAGCTCCACCGAAGGTCCCAGTGGCACAGCCCGCATGCGGTTCCCCCACCCAGGGCAGCGTTTCGTGGCCCCATAGGGAGCTCCACCGAAGGTCCCAGTGGCACAGCCCGCATGCGGTTCCCCCACCCAGGGCAGCGCTTCGTGGCCCCATACCGTCCATGCTCCACCGAAGCATGGTCCATAGCGAAGGTTTAGCCCCATAGGGAGCTCCACCGAAGGCCCCAGTGGCGCAGTTCGCATGCGTTCCCCCCACCCAGGGCAGCGTTTCGTGGCCCCATAGGGAGCTCCACCGAAGGTCCCAGTGGCGCAGTTCGAGTGCGTCCCCCCCACCCAGTACAGCGTTTCGTGGCCCCATGTTGGGCTCCCCCGAATGCGATAGCCACAACTGCATATGGTTGGGTCCTTCGCCAGGCTAATTTTTCTTCCAAAATCCCCCTGTAGGAGGACAGGCCCGACTTAACCCTTCTCGTCAGTCGAGAAAAAGCCACAAACATAAACGTTCAGCGCTCCGCGCGGATTTCTTGGATCTGCGCTGGGCCCCCCCCCGGCGGCGCCTCCGGCGCCGTCCAAGAAATCCAAGACATTTGCGCGGAACGCTGAAAGTTTACGTTTATGGCGTTTGTTCTTCTTCTCGTCAGGGGCAACGATAGGGGGAGATAGGAACATGGGGCGATACGTGATCGCGCCCTGAACTGATCTCGCCCATTGATCGCCGATAGGGGCCTGATAGTCCCATCCCGCCCAGGAGCGTGGGGCTTCGCTATTGAGTGCGTGTCGGCGATATATCGCCGATTTCTGGTTCGTGATCGGAGACCAAACAATGGCATTAACATGGAAGTTC